AGCTTTGTAGTTTTTTATGGTGGAAAATATTTAGCAAGAAATTTTTGCCCCAAGTTCTGATAGATCCAGGTGCTCACGAATTTAACCACGTCTTAGTTTTATCCCTCAGTGAGAAAAGAAATAACCTAAGTCTTATGACATCATCTGATACACCATCGTATTTAAATGTAGCGCACAATTCTAGAAAATTGGCAAAATGTAAATTTGTATCTTCATTTTGTGATCCCCCAAACTGATTATTTGATACCATTTGGATAATAGCAGGTTTAAGCTCAAATGAATTAGCCACTATAGTCAGTTTTTGAATACTACAAGGAAGTTCATCTATAGTAGGGTTGGCATAATCTCTTAAAGGTCTAAACTCTTGATGAATTTCAGCATTTTGATCATTTTGGTTTGCCATTTCTGTATTTTTTTTGGATTTTTCAAGATTTTTAATTTTTTAGGTTTTTTTTATTTTTTTAACAGTTCTCTCTCATTCAGAATCGTAGGGCACCGGTCCTTCAGAACCTGAACTACACATACACTAACATAAAATAAAATAAAACTAAACACGCACAAAATAAAATACAATAACTAAAAGTTTAAATAAGACTTTCTAAAATTAGAAATTTGCTTTTAAATCAATAGTTTCTTTACAATTTTCACTACACTTCCCCGACAATGACGTCAAAAACTTGATCCCGAAACTGCTTATATGCAACTTAGCAGTTCTCTCTCATTCAGAATCGTAGGGCACCAGTCCTTCAGAACCTGAACTACACATACACTAACAAAAAATAAAAAAAAATAAAACACACAAAATAAAGTACAATAATTGTTAAAGTTTAAATAAGATATTCTAAAAATAGAATTTTGCTTTTAAATAAATTAATTTTTATTTTCCCCGGCAACAGCGCCTAAAACTTGATCCCGAAATTGTTTATATGCAACAGTATAACAATGTATTTGATGATATTTTTCACTTATGTTTTCTTACTTTGCAACATAACCAAAAACTTGATCCTTACAAAAAATAAGAATTTAACTATTTAATTTATATTTATATTGAGATACTATGCAAGTATACATATTATTATTAATTAATATATGACTTTTTGATTAAGACCTGAATATCGAACCCATAGGGAAATACACAATATGCACTATTGACAACAAAATTTCTATTTTAAAAAGACAATTACTTAAACTAAAAATATTTTTGCAGTATTAAAATTCAAATCTTTTTGGTATTTTTGATATTTTGACAGAACAATAACAATTTAAAAAGATATTTGACAAACAATAAAACTTCTAAAGATAACTTCCGTTTATGTAAAAGAAAAACACTTTATATGAAAATATCTTTCTCCTTATCATGAATTGGTAATAAGTATAGGAATTCTATTCTGGAAGTATGCAAATTGTCTTTTTCCAAATATGAACAATAATATTCTTTACCCTTACTAGAGATGCTATACAAAACATTGGCTATATTAAAGTTTGAATGGTTCTAAAGACCGGCTAGACAGGGAAGATACTAGCTCTCACTCTAGAGTTCCCTCGATTCCCTCCACCTGGGGGCTAACATCTCATATCAGAACT